AAGTTACAGTGTAGATTCTTCCGATCAGAACTCTTCCTTTCGCATAAAAAGTTGAGATTTTCTAGAATTTTTTTAAGTTTACACTTTTGACGGTTTCATCAGAAGATGCTCAAGTATTGCAATTGGTTCTATGGGAATAGAGTCAATTCCGCGTCACCGTGTGGGTTGTTACTGTCATCATTTAGAAATCTTTTGAAATCTTTGTTATTGTTTGTCTAAGAAATTTCATAATATGGAAACATTTTGAATATCTTTTCAAGATTCTAAATAATTCCCTGGTTTTGTAAAATGTTTGAAATATTCCTGATGCGGAATATGACATTTCCAATAGTTTCTAAAAATATCTACCATTTTTTACCATTATTTCTAACATTTTGTAAATAGGTCAGTGGGCTGGGAAGGAAGTGATTCACACATCCCTGTGAAGTACAGGCTAGTCTGTCTGGGCGTCAGGCATTGATGCCTTACAACAAAAGAGCCACCAGTGTCCAGCGAAATCTAAAAATATACAGAAGAAGACAGAAGAGTCGGATTAGCACCTACTTTTATGGGGGCAATTACTCTACCATCTGGTTATTTGTTTGAAATATTTCAAATAGTGAAAGAAACACATGGATAGCTCAAATCTATTCTAAATAAAGGGATCTTTGTACAGCCACTTTCAAAATGTTTCAGAAATATCTAATAATATTCAAATTTTAATTTTCAAATTTTTTAAAAATTTAGAACTTTTGTAATACTGGGGTATTCTTGTCTTACAAACATGGAGAAAAAAGCCACACGGTGACACGGTCTAAGCTAGTCATGGCACCAAAAGGGACCGTATATCAATATTTGACATACATTTTATTGTAACTCTTAAACTTTCCATGACACAATCTTAAAATTTTCAGGATCTTAGGATCAAACAGTTTGCCACAAAGGTCTTTAATTACATGTTTTTGTGTACAAAAGTTAACACATTGTTGCTAATTACGCTAATAAGTACATCTAGCCATAGTCTGTGTAACGCAAACTCTGCCGTCCGCGGCTTTAGTGGCCCCTTCCCACAGAGTTTGTGTAGTCTCCACCAGACTTCTTTTGCGGGGTGAATAAATCGTAGAAATTGGCCTAAAAAGGCTCGACAGGGAAATGGAGCTTCTTTGGCCGGCTACCTTCTCTGGCCAATTACTCTGTAACAATCCTTGGCGCCCCCTATTTTTAGTGTGACTTATATGCAAAGATCTGACCAAAATACAATAATGAAAAGGCTTTTTGGAATGAAAATTAATTACGCGTAGCTTTAAGAATCACTGGACAAGAGGGGAAGAAACCTAGGCGAAAAAAATCTGTTTTTTTCTCTCTCACCCCCACAACAGTAGTGTGGTCGCCCATGCTAGAAACTCTGGTGAGAGATTTGACAGTGTTACCGCGTGCACTGAAAACATATATAGGTTTAGAAATGATAGGGGTTTTGGAAACACCACTTCCTGTTTTCATATGATAGGGGTTTTGGAAACACCACTTTTTGTGAACAACATGTTTTCATATGATAGGGGTTTTGGAAACACCACTTTTTGTGAACAATATATGTTTTCATATGATAGGGTTTTGGTAAACACCACTTTTGTGAACAATATATGTTTTCATATGATAGGGGTTTTGGGAACACCACTTTTTGTGAACAATATATGTTTTGGAATTATATGTATTTAAGATATATATATTGTTTTGAAAAATGTATATATATTTTCTTCTTAAGCATATATGTTTTACAATTGTATGTATTTACTATACATATATTGTTTTGAAAAGTGTATATATATTCTTATTAAACATATATGTTTTACAATTGTATGTATTTTAAATATATATATCGTATTTTTGACAGTGTTCCTGCTTCGTAATTTTTTTTGTTCCTTTTGAAATTTTATATGAGTCAGAGAACTCGTGCCTAGAGCGCCATGTAGACAAAATAACGTTGCTAGGAAACATATGAGTAATACTGTACATGTATATACCTGTGTTTTGCCTGTCTGATATAACTGTTTGTAATAGCAAGTCTATGACCTGTGCAGGGCTATTTTTGGACTGTTTGTCATGTACTGTTTATATAAGCGCTGTAAAGGCTGTTTGTGTACAAACCCACTTAGCACGCACCATGCATATTGCACGAGGTACTGCAAAATGGTAACCAAGCCGTGACACTTAATACTGCGATCTGCAAATCGAAAGATACCCTAAAAATACTCTTACTGTCTTAGCGGGCTCAGTGTATTTGCTTAACTATACGAAACAAACTATACCTGTTCTTGCCTTGTTGGTATAGTTTGTCTCGTTCTTTTGCGGAAATCCATGATGCAAAATCTTCCGGGTTTCAAACGAAACAAGAACGAAAACCGAAAACTGCTTTTACAAGACCAGAACTGACAACTACTTACAAAAGACGTTACAAAGAGGAACATATAATTGTTATGTGTAAATAAGATGGCATAAGGGATAGGCAACAAACTAAATGAGAGAATTTTCAGGAGTTTGAAAATTGTGGCTTTCATGCTGGTGATTTATTGTTTTAGGTTCTGAAACACCCTGTTGTACCAAAGTCTGACTTCTTTGGTCTTGTAAACTTTTCTTGTGTTAACCGTTACGTTCTTTGATACGTTCATCCCCTTGGCCAAGCAGAGGTTTTTTTACGTGTTTAGACGTTTTATCAGAGTTTCTTTTCTTCTACTTGTACATGTATCGTTTTTTTTTATGCACCTGCCAAACCTACGGGTGTCAAAGTAGTAGCCGCCTGGCAAATGGTCTGGCCAATTTGATATTGTCCTAAATTTGCGGCCCCCAAAATATCTGCTTGGAGATTAATAATTTCAGCTGTAATATAATCTGGTGTCGGTAGCAAAAAATCGATATGATCGATACTCAGACAGTGCTAGCTGATACGGGTCGGTGGGAAGAGCTCTGGACTCAGAGAGGTGCCAGTGTTTTTTTTAAGCCACCATGTTTAGGCCATGTTGATTTGATTATAAGGATTACATCTTCTGGGAACCCCAAAACTGATGCGAGCGTGCGAATAAAAAAGGGTTTGGCAAAGAAAAAAGTTGCTTTCATTATAAAATCTATGTGGTCATGAAGGTTGAACAAATGACACAGAGTATGGTTTGGCGAATAATCTACTCTTCGAATTCATTTCTTTACATTTTCGTCTTTTTGTTTGATTTTGGCATTCTACGACATTGCTATCGTTTTCCAATATTTTTTTTGCAACTTACGGTATATATTTTGCAACTTTTTTGTACGATTTACAGTACGATTGAAAACTTTTTTTTAAACGGCCGAAAATCCATGCGCGCGCAGATGTCATCCACATAATCAAATCAACATGGCCTTAGTGGAGGAACAGAAATAAAGTGGCAATACTGTACTCCAATCAGTACTTCTCTTAGTAAGAGTTCAAACGGTTCCGCCAGGAGCGAATGAGTGGCTTCCTTTCATCAGTACTTAGCACCACTTACCTGGGCCGGGCCATGCGGGTAGAACAAGCGCAGTGTTGTGTTCCAAAATAATACACAATACAGCGCTTCACAAGGTCGGGGGGAAAGATATCCGAGAGATACTCCCGTTTAAAGTGTGTGTATAGATAACGTTATGCCGTTGCATTTTTTGCCTACTCCAACTGTCATTGCAAATATCCACTTACTGAAAATCTAACATCTGCTTTAAAAAGCTCTTGATACAACTTCATTTACCAATATGAGCGATTGCTGACATTTTTCGTTTGCATCATGTACATACAAATTATTTCAAGCCATATGCAAAATAGTCCACTTTTCGAATAAAAATCACGTATATTCTCGGGCTGCCAAGATCTCGCGAGAGCACAATCTAATTTATCTAAACCCCGCCCACCTTGTGTTGCCATGTGAGTTACCACACCTGTTGTCACACCTGCATCACATACCTCTAGTCACCTGCACAGGTGTACCTGGGGCCAAAACGAGGTCGATCTCTAGCCCAGATAGAGTCGTAACTTGTGCGCAGTGTTTTTTTTTAATCTTTCGAAATGTCGCCGGTTTTTAACTAATCTTAAATCTACCTGCTTCTGGCCACGCCTACTCTAGTGAAGGATATTCCAAACTCAACGTGAGGTTGGTTCACTATCTTACGTTATTACAAAGTTTGATAAATTGCAACTCCTGTTGCTCTTTAGCAAGATAGTTGGGAGGGGGGAGTTGTGTACATGTATCTGTATCCGTATCTCTATCTGTGTAGCCGGTACAACCGCCCTTCGGCGTAACACACCAGCTTCGTAGGCACGCGGCGCGGTGGCAGCTGGCCACATAACACCGATCAACTTGTTACACCTAACCCGTAGATGTAGATGTATACGACGACGTGTAGATGTACATGTATTTATATACGAGTGTTGCTAGCTATTATATTGTTGCTGTGAAATTGTTCAATGTAGGGTATTTTTCCCACTACGATTACCAGTTTGCATGCTTCACATGTCCTTCTAACGTTAAATTGTGTAGTTTGTTGTAATGTAGACTGCAACATTGATGATGCATTGAACCATATCGTGATCAGCAGAGGAGGTCAAAGGTGAAGGGTCAAACGTGCAAGGCGTGGTGGTAAACCATTTGTCTTTTTTAGCGTGGCCGCGTGGCGCAGTGCGACGTGTGTAGCAACGAATGGCAGCTGAGCTATTCATAGACAACAACTGTCTGTACATTGTATATATATCATGATTGTATACCCATGGCCAGCACATGTGATTTCTAATGTATATCATAAGGCATATGATTGCATAGTCTAGTGTTGTGATTTTAACCTCCTTGCTCGTACACGTGGTGATAATTTATTATATGTATCATACATTCAATCATACGATATGGTTACATAGAACCATTGAACAGCGTACACGTAAAACATAGGGTTATATGTGCATGGAAGCATAGGCCAGAATATCTGGGAAACACGTACAAATACAGTGTATTGAAAATGTAATTTCGGTTTACCTCGATACCTGCGGCCCCCAGCATGAAGCGGATGGACTCGCCCCGACCTCGTCCGTTGAAATAGGTCAGCCTAGCTTTGTCAGACATTGTTGACCAAGAGATGTCTTTACTGACAACTTAAGGTATATGTACTTGTCACGTCTTGGAACTTGAGCGCTTTGCGATGGAGATACGTACGTGCGTCTGTCTGCTAGAAGCTTCGAATGAGGGCTGTGGCACGACCTAGCCACGTGATCCCTACTCGGTCAAAGGGCATTATCTCTCAGTAACACAGGCGAGTGGGGGAGGGAAACTGGAAGTAGTGTTTAATAGTGTGTTAGGCCACATAATGTAAATTTTATGGATGACGTCCACGCGCGCATTGGTTTTGGCCTGTTCCTAGAAAAAACCCAAGAAATTCCGCTTCCTGTGTTAAACTATGACCAAAGAGTCACGACAGTGCCGCAAAATAGGTTTGTACGGACCAAAGCTTATGAAGCATCAAGCAAGGAAATCATGACTTCAATTAGGAATTCAGTTTGGTACATGCTGCCACATTTTAAGAAACTTGCTGACCGCTCCATCTATCTCCCCAAAGCACAAAGACGACAACTGCTGTTCCACCTGATTTATTGCTGTTCTGATGATGAATAAAATACTTCTTGCTTGTTACACTGTGTCACCTCATTCAATTTGTGTCCTAACATTTGTCGTCTCTTAGTACATTTCTAATCTAGGCATCTTGTTTTTTAGCGCCCTTCTTGTTTTTTTTTCGCCCTCTCGCATTAGATTTAGGGTCTCCAAAGGATGTCATCCATAAAATTTACTTGGTGTGGCCTTACCAAGGTTACTCATGACAGTATCAGGTACAATTCTGTTGAATTTTTCTGCGAATAATAAGACGTTTAAAAACAGGGACACTATATCAAGAAAGAGTTGTGAATTGTATACTACTAGTGTCAAAGCGTTTAATTGACGACCAGACCAAACTTTGAAAGATTTGTTTGTTTGTTTGTTTGTTTGTTTGTTTTTTTGTTTCAGCCTTGGTTTAACTGGACACAAATTCCGAGTTTCTCTTTGATTTTTAGGCTTTTTTTACAGGCTTTCTTTTTTGTGCCGGTATCTTTTTTTTGCGAAGCAGAGGTTTGGGTCACGGCTTATTTTTGACGTGTTCTAGGCGTTTTTATCTGGTATCTTGTTTTTACGCCAACTTCGGGTGGTAAATGGTAACTGCCTGGCAAACAGATAGTGCTTGGAGAATTTGATACCGTCTTTGCAGCTTGTGGATTATGCAAAATCTCAGTTATGTGAACTAGTCAGGAGACAGTGTTCAACAGTCATGACAACGAGCGAGCCTTAACAAAAGCACACAATTACGATGTGCTTAATATAGAACTGCAATGTCATGTGTATGTAGCGTTTTTTTTAAAGCTCTAATTCCAGAACACATGACTAATCTCTTTGATCTTTCTCCGAAGAAAGGAGTCACGGTGGTAATCGTTACGTCAGTTAATGACGAATTTTCAGGAAACATACCGTCCTGTTATACGCCTACGCTATGTAAACACCACTTCAAAATATCTCAATTGTTCTGACACAATTACTTGCATTTTCGACATTTCCCTACCTATTAAACAGGTCCTAATATTGCCACCATTGCCACTCGAATTTTTCAATTGTTCTGACACAATTACTTGAATTTTCGGCATTTCCCCTACGTATTATGGTCCTAATACTGCCACCTCTGCCACTTGTATGCTGAATTTTACACAAATTGTGTGTGTACACAGCGGCATATGTATAAACAAAGGCAGTATACATTATGTAAATAGGGCAAGTCACTACAGAGGCCACTAGTTGTAGTCGTTTTTACAGACAGGCATATGTAAGGTAATAAACACTGGTGCTGTTTTGGTTACAAGTCCCGATTGTCTGAGTCCGTGGGCGGCTTTTGTGGTGGGAACACGAAAACTTAATACGGGAGGTAAAAACAACAGAAAACACACTGCACAGGTGTTCAGATAATTAACAAGTTTTTAATTCCCTTTGTCGCATGATAATAGATAATTCAGTATGGAAAACTGAGGGAAAAACAAGTCTGGTATCTTACTACATCGATAGTATACTTATACGTAACGTTACATGATGTTTTACCGTTTCAGTTGTAAGTGTGAGAACAGATAGCGATTATAATACATAGTTTATCGAGTTTTACGAGCAATATGATTTTTCTTTGCTATCTTAATATCTTAAAGTAGGAAAATCATCTTGTATACAATTGAATATGATTTTTTTGTGTTATATAAGGTATAATCCACAATAAAATGGCACTCGTCTTCTATAGTTTAATCAGTCTTATAAAATTTGTATCTGTAGCAACCCGGAACAAAACCCGCCTTACATGGAGTATGTAATACCCGTGGATTAACTACGGAAGCCAATAATGTCCTTAATACTACACACAGGGCCACCAGGTAAGATTTAATGAGGTTACGACTCAGAAAACAAATCTCCTGTTTCATCTTTGTAGACAATAATCTATTACAGACATCATTTCTTGGAGACGTAAATCCTTGTGATGGCGATAGAGCTTTGATGGCGCAGTGCTTGTAGGATTTTCGTCTTGTCTTCAAACGAGAGTTCTTCCTGGAATGGCTGTAGAGAGTACTTATGTCAGGTTAGGTGGTTGTCTACTCTCCAAGCAGAGGTTTTTAGGCGGCTTCGGCTCATTTTTGACGTATTTTAGACGTTTTTATCGTGCTTTCTTTTTCGTACTGGTATCTTTTTACACCAGCAAGCGGTAAGTGTCAGGCAAATGGTCAGCATCAACCAGACTTCTTTGCAGGCTGAATTAAATACATGTAGTAGAAATCGTTCTAAAAAGGAATGTATACATACGTAGCTAGCCAAGGGGAGTTAGCTGGCAATAGAGCCTGTACATTGCTTTTTATGCCGATTTCTACTATTTATTTAGCCTGCAAAGGAGTCTGGTGGACACTAGCGAATGGTAACCGTCTGGAAAATGGAAACTAAATTTGATACTGTCATTTACTCCCACCAAAAGATCTGCTTGGAGAGTACTAGTATCCGTTGTCTAGCCCGGGGCTACACTCATGTCAAGTCACGTCCGGATTTTAAACGTTCCAATCCGCGCACACCTGAATCACAAAAGGACGACGTTTTGTTGACATTTCCCGCGGATTTCCTCAGGACGCACCTGAGCTAGTCAAGCGTGCCCCCCTCCCCCTTCAGATTCCTGAAACAAGGCCGATCTAACAACTGTCTAGTCATTCCATGTATAATATATCAAAGACAACGAAACTTGTGCTGAAGCGCCTAACGGTTGAGAAAAAAAAAACAGTCCATGTTTCTTGTCTTTTTTTTTTGTTAATCTTTTATTTTTGTGCCCCCCTCCCCCTTCAGATTCCTGAAACAAGGTCGGCCTAACTATCTAGTCATTCTATGTACATGTTTGATATATAAAACAAAGACAACGAAACTTGTGTTGGTTTAGAAAAAAACAGTCCATGTTTCTTGTCTATTTTATTTTGTTTATCTTTTATTTTTGTGCCCCCCTCCCCCTTCAGATTTCTGAAACAAGGCCAGCCTAACTGTATAGTATTCCTATGTATAAAATATCAAACACTGAAGACGACGAAACTTGTGTTGAAGCACCTGATGGTTTAGAAACAACAGTTTATATTTCTGTTGTCTGTTTTGTTGTTGTTGTTTATCATCTTGATACTACTAATATGATATATACGTTGTCACTAGCCCGTATCTAGGGACATAACTGTCTAGTCATTCTATGTACATGTATAAATATATCAAAGACAACGAAACTTGTGCTGAAGCATCTGGTGGTTTAGAAACAACAGTTTATATTTCTGTTGTCTGTTTTTGTTGTTGTTGTTTATCATCTTGGTACTACTGATGATATATACGTTGTCACCAGCCCGTATCTAAGGACATAACTGTCTAGTCATTCCACATGTATAATATATCAAAGACAACGAAACTTCTTGTGTTGAAGCACCTGAAGGTTTAGAAACAACAGTTTATATTTCTATTGTCTGTTTTTCTGCTGTTGTTCTTGTTTATCATCTTGGTACATTATAATACTGATTATATATACGTTGTCTCCAGTCCGTATCTAGGGACATAACTGTCTAGTCATTCTATGTACATGTATAATACATGTATATCAAAGACAACGAAAGTTATGCTGAACCATCTGGTGGTCTAGAAACAACAGTTTATATTTCTGTTGTCTGTTTTTCTGTTGTTGTTGTTTATCATCTTGGTACTACTGATGATATATACGTTGTCACCAGCCCATATCTAAGGACATACCTGAATCGGGCTAAGAGTAAGATAACCTGAGTGGGAACAATAGCTCACCTGTGCGCGCACGTCCCATTATTTAGCACAAATACGGGTCCATGCTCTTTTCCAAAGGTGGCCTTTTGTCCCTTCTGTTGTCTGTGTAGTCAAGGCTTCAAGGCCTGTCATTTTGTAACTGTCAAATCCTGGCGGCAGATATGCTAATGGCCGTAACTTAGATGGACGCAGGTTGTACATGTGTGTAACTTTATCTCCTGTCTGAAGGCTTCACCTTTATGGTTGTAGACAGTAGGGGGCCGGTAGGACGGTTGGTATGTGGTACTTTGCAGGCTGAATAAATAGTCGAAATCGTCATAAAAAGGAATAGAATTGACCAGAGGAGTTAGCCGGCCATAGAAGGACCAATATGCCTACAATTTCGACTATTTTTATATTTATTCAGCCTACAAAGGAGTCTGGTCGATCTCCAAGCAGAGGTTTAGGGTTCGTTGTTTTTTTTCGACGAGGTCTAGGCATTTTTATTCGGCTTTCTGTTTTGAACTGATATATTTTGCCTGAAAAACTTCGTGTGGCATACACATATGGTAACTGCCAGCCAGGCAAATAGATACTGTTTTGCAGCCACCAAAAGATCTACTTGAAGATTATATGTGGTAGGAGTTATGTTCCGTGTGATGTCTGCTATCATTCTGTAGATAAAAACCTCTTAATTATCCTAGATTCGAATCTTGAATGTGTCTGTGACAAAGAGACACAGATAACATACGTCCGTTTTTTTTCGCCCCTGTTTTCCGGTGTTAAAGTTTGTGAGTGCGATAGGCATCTACCTGTTCGGTGTGTTCAAAGGGCGCCGTCCCCGGGCCCAAACATGGCTGTCTGACCTCACTCAGATATTTACACTAACTACAAACTCCTTCTGTCCTTCTGGGTTCCACGGAGTCTGGTGTGTTTCAGACGACACAGGAACTAGCTTCCTGGCTACCTGTTTTGGTACACACAGTACAGAGAACATGTGTTAGGATTAGCGCCAATTGTACAGCCCTGAATTCGCCGTGTTTGAGGGACAAAGAGTTCTGAGAATGGGATCTTTGGTCGCTCTGGGATGTTTATTGACTTAAAGTGTTTTCACTTTATAGAACTCGCCCTACTTGTACAACCCCCGGTAGAGTTCACGCCCTTTCTTTGGCGAGGTTTTCTAGTAGAAAATTGCAGGTAAAAGAACATGGATAAATATGGGGGGATTAAGTTAAGTGTACCCGCAGGCATGTGGGTTTTGTAAGCGATAATCGGTACGATCTTCCCCCAATTGTGCCCTTTTCCGCATGATTTATTCCTGACTTTTCCACCCTACTGCGCATTCCACACAGGTAACATAGCTTATTTGCATACCAGCGCGCGCCAAGTGTTCTTGGTTATCACCTGGTGACGTCATGTTGTTCTGCATCACTTGTTCGTCTGGACCAATCACAGCACGGCATTTCTGTCCACGGCGTTCTTTATCCAATGACTAACAATCAGCGCCGTGGGAGCAGTAGGACCATATTTGGAGAGCCGCTTAGGTAAAGTGTTGACTTGTGTAGGAGGCTGGCGTGCGTGGCCGATTTTGGGGGTCAGAAATCGGCAAAAAATAGCGACGTGACGCAACCGTTAGGAATCATGCTTTGATGGTGGAGAGTGTGTACATGAGCAGGTGTATGATCTGACGTTGGGAGTTATTCCGGAGTATCCTGTGTGTGTGTCTCACGGCCGGCTTGTGTTTGCGGATTTCCTACAGGATTTTGGTACTGTTCAAACGCACGGTGTACTTCTGAAGGACTGCTAGTCAAGCGAGCTCGTAGCACCGAGAGGACGTCTCACTAAACCTGTCTGCCGCTAAGCCTACTGTACTTGATTTCTGCGTGAACACAGGGGATATATACTTTCACCAGGAATCAACTGACTGCTACCAGCTTGTAAGGTACCAATTATCTCTCTCTACCACTTGGGTATTTCCATAGCGATAGCAGTCAAGTGTCTCGCGGCGGCGGCTAGGAATTTTGCCCGGTAAGCCTTCGCAGTTTTACGCCAGGCTGCACGATCTTATCCCACCCTCACCACCAACGTTTTCAGTTTTGTGTTGTGTTGTGTTGTGTTGTGGAAAGCGGCCGCGTGGGGTGTGTGAAAGATTCGTCTGAAATTGTAGCCGCCCTGGGCACCCAAAACCTGTCGCCTTGTCTGGTTACTGTGTAACGTAGTCTGCGTGCCCTTTCAGATGTGACCGTTACCTGTGCACATGCGCACTGGTACGCTTACCTGTGGGACACGCCACAGGTGTAAGTGGAACCTAGTACGAGTCTGTTTCAAATTCCGTTTAAATAACCGCCCCTGGACGCTGTGTACTCGATTTTTCTACTCCAATCTTGTCTACCAGACACCCCAGTCACCGTTTAGAAGCAGGTATGTGGTCTATTAACCCCGGATTGGGTCAATTTTGTGTATTTTGTGGAGCGAAATAACTTCATTTGCTGCCAGCAGCTTGTCGTCGGTAAATTTAAATTGGTCGGTTTAAAAGGCCATGTTGTTCCGTTATCAGATAGCTTTGAGGGATTTACTCGCACAAGATTGGACCAGGAATTGTGGTGGATTCTTTAGCGGCTGGTTTTGTCGAGTACATCGCTATATAAGTCAGCGATAGAGTTATTAGAGGCGGTGACTTCATTTTCGTGTGTGTTTTTCCGTCGCCAAGAATTCGTTAGCTCCGGGCATGGCGAGACTTCCGTCTGTTCTGTTGTTGCAGGGGGGAGGGTTGTTTTAACTTGCACGGTTGGTTGTCGGTGCAAAGCTGGCGGCTTTGCCGTGTGTTTATCCCGACGTGCCGCCCGGTACAGGTGAACAAACAGGTCGACTGGACCAGACAGGTAGAAAAATTTTCCAAGTCAGCCATCTTGGAGAGTTCGTCTCATGACTCGAGTTGAAATTTCCGTCAGAATTTTCCCCATACGGTCTGGTATATTTGTGTGAATTTTCTCACAAGGTTTTTGCAAAAATCTTGATGTAAGTAAGTCATTCATCTGTTCTTACGTATGTAAGAATTTCTGATCATGGACTGAGAATATATGTACCTTTTTCTTGTACTGTTAGTGTGTATGATTACAAGTGAGAAGGAAAAGTAACGTGTGTATTTGGGGGGCCGCATTTGATCTTTGTCCTGTCGCTAAAGGTGTGAATAATTCTATCATAATCCCTCGGAACACAAATCAGATGTACCAAGCTCTCCCCTTTCACCCATTTGTTGTGTTAGGAGTTTTACCATTTCGTTCCAGTTTCTGTGTGCTAAGGAGGTTTGAAAATTCCGAGATCCCCCGTGTCGGTAGAAAGGAAATCCCCCGGTCAAGTTGTGAAGTCTCCCACGGGTCGGGAGGGAGTCGGGAGTAACTGTCCGTGTCTAATTGGCGATTGTTTTATGGTCCCCTGCTGGTCGTGTTGATTAGACTAATCATCTCCTGCGCCACCGCAAACAACGGGGAGAAATTCACCATTGTCTACCGCAGTATCAAAGAGACTATTAACTGTTGAGACAAACAAAAACAGGTCGAAATTAGTGTTTTCCATTCATTTCTTGCGTTAAATCTACAGTCTATTCATCCTTGATATATCTGTGTTCGGTGTAGACTTGATATTTCATTCTACTCTCCAAGCAGAGGGTTGAGGGTTATTTTTTTGTGTGTTTTTAGGCTTTTTTATTGGGGTTTCTCTTTTGCACTGGAATTTTTTTGTTGGGTTGGGTGGAAAAAAATTCCATTGGAAAAGAGAAACCCCGATAAAAAAAGCCTAAAAACACTCCAAAATAACCCCAACCCCAAAACTTCTGCTTGGAGAGTAGTTTCATTCAGACAAACCATAGAGTATAGTACAGGTGAGAATAGTATAAGTTTTTTTTACACGAAGACTTGGAGCAACTTCTTTGGATGTTTGACCATACTGTAGTACCTAGCTATGTAACTCGACATTGTTTTCTGTTAAAACTTCAGCGTTTTTTTCTGTCGCGCTCTAAAACGTCCACTTATACATAGCGTGGCGTGGCTGCTTTGAAAGTTGCGTCTGTAACAAACCTCCACAATTAACACTTGGATGTTGAGACCGGCATGTGTGTAAAGTGCAAATACTCGCCAGCTTTGTTCTCTTTGTTTCCCCTCTGTAAAGTATCCTCACCCACCCCTTGCCAAAACAGTAGAAAGTTCTAAAATGCACGCTTCGAGTCTGGATCGACTTTCAGTGTACGCGGGAAAAAATCAGACAACATTTTGTGCGAACTGAAGCAAATCCGAGACAGATAAAAAGTACAGAAAGCTAGAATTCACAGCCTTTATTTCTTGCCAGAACAGTAGAAAGAGTAGAAAGTTCTAAATTTGAAATGCACGCTTCGAGTCTGGATCGACTTTCAGTGTGCGCGGGAAAAAAATCAGACTCCATTTCTGTGTGAACTGATGCAAATCCGAGACAGAAAGCTAGAAGTCACATCCATTATTTTCTCAGTGTGACATCACGACTTTGACAGCCACAGAATATGCTAATAAAGGTCCCCCGTTGCGATGGATGTTACATTCCAAATTCCGGAGGTAGACAATTGCACACAATAGCCTGTCAATATTTGTGTGTGGAAATGAAAAGGAAGAGTGCACGGCACAGACACACAGACAACGGGGCTACAAAATAAAGATGTCCTTGTGTACACATGCCCTTTTGTTGGCTTGAAAGTGCCGCGAAACATTTTTGTAATGAGTCGGATACATTGTCCGTTTCGCCACGATGAGTCAGCTAGCCAGATCTCAAACAAAACCTGTTACCAAAGGAGGTAAGAAGGAAATGACTTTAGTTTTCCTTTCAGAAAAGCGTTGACCAGTCCATATTAGGGTTAAGCTAACAAGGACGAAAGGTATAGGGGAAGGCGGATTTCTGCTTCGGTTTGAACAAGGAGGGTTCTTTTTTGAACCGACGCGACGCTAAAACAACACTCACCTGAATAGCGGCGTCGTATTTCTACACCACCGGGTCGCGCGACCGCCATCTTGGAATTGTCATTGTGGTGCGACTGTGAGGTGTGACCTTCGTCACTTCTTTGGTGGTCTGTCGGGCTTTTGCAGTTCAGAATCGTTCAATAACAACTGATTTCTGTCGCTTTTAGCTGTGCCGTCTGTTTGTTGGTGGGTTTTAAACCGTTTTCTGTTTTACAGACTATGGTTAGTTAGCACCTGTTGCGCCACAAGTGGGTCCCAGGGCGGGAACCTTTGTTGATTTTGTTCGATCGATCAGAAATGTTTTCTTTTCCCACCTCCGCCATTTTCGCACCAGCAAGGACATAAATTTTGCTCTTTGACGCCAGAAAGGCGACATGTGTCGTAACATTTTATAATTGATTTACATTTTGAATTCTGTTCTGTAGCTAGAAGTAGGTTTGATCAAGGACATTATACTGTATAATGTCCTTGGTTTGGTTTATTTAATATTTCGCCTTCTTTCGTTAACACTATTATGGGGACGACATCTGCAGGTATGTCCTTGGTTCATGTTGACTTTCCCAGAGAGCTTGTCTTGTGTACGACGTATCCTTCAACCGGGATGTTAGGAGAGGTGCTACATAGTACAGATAGTTGAATACTCCTCATGAGTTGGGACACTTTTTGCCTTCAGTTCTCTGGAAGGCTGTAGTCTGTCTGTCTGTAGCTAGTAAAAGTGAATGGTAGGATGTGTCGTCTATCCAGTTTGGACCGCTCATTACATGTCATAACCTGTCTTCTCTTCAAGAGACGCACTGAAAGAAGAACATTGAAAAAGTCTACAGCAGTGAACCCCTATAGCTAACGGAACTTTCCATTCTAATATCAGATATACCTGCTAGCAGGCAACTTGTCCATGTCAATGAGGTTTTCCCCCTATGCCCATGAACATGTAATTGGAAATATGTAGAGCCTAGTCATGTTATTTCTCTATTTGGCCAATTTCTACTCTTTCCAGTCGCCTCCCGAAGCCTGGTAGAGGCTACAGTATAGACAGGGATAGATACTAGTATCTAGCACCACAGCTAGGTACAGAAAAGACAGATAGTTTAGACATGTAGATAAATGAAAACAGGTGATAAGAAGAAGCGTCCAGACTTCACTCTGAAGTTCAGTCTGAATCGTGGGTCGTGATCGGGGGAGCTCGAATGTTTATCTTGACTCGGTCGCACCCATGTGAGTTACATGTTCAGAAAGCCGGCAAATTTCATTCGTCTGGCTGTTGTTATGATTTTTCCGGGTCGGTGCCATATAATGACATCACACGGGGCCAGGCTCAGGAATGGACGCAGACGATTGGAATCGGCAAACGGGGCGGAAGGGGGTTACGTTTCCGCCGAGTTCTTCAAGTTTACTTGTGTGTGAAGGCCAACACGTCTTGGCCTTGGATTGTGTTGTGGTGTAACTGTACCGTTAAATTTTCGGGTCGAAGAAATGGCGAGACCTTTAACTGGCTTAACTTACTCCAAATGCCTTCTAACCCTGGATCGCGACTAAATACTAGTAGTTGAAGTTCATGCACCAGCGGCAATTACTTCTAGTGTGTAAAGTGTAGTGTTACTGTATATGAACTTCTAATTGTTAACAAGTAAATTGTTCCAGCTAGCCCTTAGATTACGTATCGTTTGTTTTTGTTAGTTTGTTACATTCAGTTTCGTAAAAAATTATGTCGTCCGGTCATGAATTCATGTAAAGTCAGAAAACTTAGTACATGTACACATTCGCTTCAGTAGATATTTGTCTGTTGGTAGCAACTACTACTACTAGTATCTGAGACGACAAAAACAGTAACCAGGATGGCACCCAGTCCTTTCTCTAGTAGCTTACTGCCGGATGTAAATAATGCAGGCCGTTTCCATTTATTTCGAGGGTTTGGCACACACGCCAGCAACTGGACACCATGTGGTGCTCAGTAATTTGACCTCTGGCCCCCCTCCCGACCCGTACAACTCTCTGGCTTCTCGCAAACCCGTGTAACATTTTTTCTCTTCTCCGTCTTCCCTCCTCACAGAATCGTACCTCAAGAACTGAGGAAGAGAACTTGGAAGGGAAATCTTCAAGGAGGCGTCGGGAAAGGATTATTGGGCAGTGCGCGGCTGGCTGAGGGCCAAGCCAAGAACGTTTAGAAACAGTTGGGAAATCGTACCACAGGGATACAGCAAGCAGAGGCGTCACCATGTGCAGCTATAGCGGACCAACACTGCCTTCATACAGGCTTATGCTCTTACTACTAGGTAAGCACTATATTTTACCATACGTTCTTGTTGTGGGTTGATGTTGTTGAATGTATAAAACCGTTTTCTTCGGTTCACTGGGAGGTAGAAATGAAAACAACGCACTGGGAGTAACTCGTGCTCGTCAAATTTGGGACCGTGCTAATCTCCAAGCAGATCATACGGTGGCAAGGCAGTATCCATTGGCCAGAGGAGTGTCCATTAGCCACCGAACACTAATGGACACTCCTCTGGCCAATGGATACTGCCTTGCCACCGTATGATCTGCTTGGAGATTAGGACCGTGCCAGCGTTTGGTGCTGATCGTTCCAGCTATTTACGCCAGTGCCCTTTACTCTATTTTCATACGCCCTGTATTTTCTAATACAGAAGTACATTATAGTACATGTATTATAGTATAGTACAAGAGTATGTTTGTAGATGGGAGGTTCAAAAACAATGTTTTAATCGTTATTTTTGATCTGGGTAATGCTCCTTTCGGCAATCTCGAAATGTAACGATTTTTACCCAGTCTGTACTCTCCAGCTGGGCTCCGTGTTGGCGCTGTAAACACTGTAGAAAACATGGCGTCAAGTTTCTGGGTTTCTTTGCTGAGAAAACTCGGGCCTTACGCACTTCCCCGTCGCTTGTCAACGTTAGAGCACGAGCCAGTTGACACACGGTCTCGCTGCCATATGTGTATACCTCCGAGCAAGTTCCGGAGTCGGTTACAGGATACCCCGTTCTTATAAATACATCATGTTCGTGTTACAGAATACCCCATCTTTTTGATAACTTTTGTAAGAACATGTTGTACACTATATACAGATTCCACTCCAGTATCTTCCACCAGCCTCACAACTTTGCATATCCAAAATTTCTTTAATCTAATTTCTAATGTAATAACAAACTTCTAATCTAATTTAATACGAAACTTCACAGCGTATAGGGAAAGAACTATAAACTGTTAGCCTCTACCAGGCTTGGGAAGGCGAAATGTTCTCTCAACGGACAAACTCCCTTGGCATGCTTATCTCTCTATTTTTTTGGCCGATTTCTACTCTTTCCAGCCGCCTCCCCAAGCCTGGTAGAGGCTAATAAACTCACTGTGTCAATTACAGAAAATGCTCATTGACCAACATGAGGAGACCTTTTGATTTTAAACCTCCTTGATTTGACGGATATACATAAAAAGTCCCCAAATATTTCCCTCCCAACCCCTCTCAAACTTCTGTTAGATTTAATTTTGTCTAATCAAGATGATCTAATCTATAAGAAACATGACTATATAAGCTGTACAAATCACAGAAAATGCTCATTTATCTGACTATTTGGCGTTGTCATCGGGCCTGAAACTCTCTCAAAGTACAACAGACGTAACTGGGCCAAACTAAACCCTGAAAGTCACGGTTGGAAGTAAAAGTAGTTGTGATTTGTGAGGGAGGGTCGAACCTGCCCGGGTGCGGACTGTCAGGTTATCTCCAGTCAAAACACGGCTGGAATTTGTTCCCCCGGATAACGGTTACTCTCCTGTCAATTCAGCTGGCAAACTTTAATGGGAACTGTCACCGGTAAATTCAATTATGTTTCGGAAGCGTTCAATCTAGTTTAATAGCTGAAGTTGTACACTATATTACACTTGCAAATTGAAAAGTAAAGAAAGCCTTTTAAGGACACGCAGAGCTATTTTATGGCAGTAAAACTTGAAATACGATTTTCTGGTCAATTCTTTTTTTAATGTAGTACATTTAAGTTGAATTACTCTATCCCAAGGTGATGATACAGTCATAGCCTACTGATATCTGATTCTGAGGCAAAAATGCGATGTCATTGCTGGAAAACGGCTGTATATTTCACACCGAAGACTGGTTCTAGCTATTCATTTGTGGTATAAAGATTTCAAGAACTATTCGAGTAGCTTGTTTCTGGGCTTCAAGCACAAAATGATGGAAAAGGTGACATGAATATGTCAGGAAATGTCAATATCAGACAAATGTCCTCATCCATAATATTTTTGTTTTGCCGTCCTGAAATTACACTGGGTGCCTTTTAAAAATGGATGTCCTTTGAGTTACAGCACAACTAGCCACCACCCCCTGTATGGGGATGTGTAGAGGACCTTCCATATTATGCGAGAATATGTCAGTAATTTCGAAACAGAATGGGAAAATGAGACACATGTCTGTGAGACACGTATGGTATGTTCATTAATCAATGTTGTTGTCAGTGATGGCCCTACCCACTTGTGACGTCACGTAACTAGCACTGTTTCAGCGTGACGTCGAAACAGGCAAACCCTGACAAATTATATATCGTTATTCTTTGTATAACTAGTTAGTATAGCTAATATTTAACACCCTACAGTTCAGGAAATCTGGCCAAATATACTTCAGCTATATACTAGTATTCTGTATGTAGAAGTATGAGTATTGGTTTTAGAAATCGAAAATTGAACACTACTTCAAGTACTAGGACCTTCTTGTTATTGTGTTTCTTCTTTTCTCGCATTCCCGTTCCCATCGACTACTGAAACCAGGCCGTGCATTTTTTTTCCTTCATTATAACCTGCACAGCGGCGTTCTCGTGTTGCAAACATGCCCCAGTTTTGGGGCTGCATACCAGCAGGCCGTGGTGTTACATTACTGGGGGAGGGGGGCGCGTGATATCGTGTTCCATGCACCTGACTCACGGCTTACAAATGTTCGGAACAATGAGCCCCGGAAATGCTACGCCCGTGGTCAGAAGGAACGGACAAAAGCCGACAAAACGAGTCGATCGTTCGGAATACCGCACACTAATCGGCCTACGCAGATGTGGTAGTGATAACGGGGTTTGGTTAGCACCTGGCTGACCAAAGTCCGACATAGCAGTAAAAGGATATGATGCCAACACAATAAACAAAGAATATGACTCATATTCCTTTCATTATCGCTTGCTTCAAACAACTGCATTTATCAAGTAGTTGTAGTTTGACATACCCAGCTGTGTTTCGTACTGTTTGTAGATATTTTAGTAAAACGTGAATCAAATGTGAGAACTGTAAAACATGGCGACAGGTAGAGAGTTCCCGGATCAAAGATGGCGCCCGACAATGCTTACGTGCAAACATAAGCACACTTGAAATAACAGCACGTCCGCATGTAAGGCGAAGCCAGTCGTCAGTGGATGACTATTTCCTGAGGTCTACACTGTATTATTGTACCTGATGTGTGCATCGTAACCTTACGCGGAGGAGTTATAAGTTCTGAGTGGAAAGCAAATAACGCGAGAACAAAAGCCTGCAAGGGAAGCGAATTCCCGGTCCATTACAGGAAAGGTCAAGTTTCAAACCACCGAGTCGTGGAGAAGGCGAGACAGTAGTCAAACTCTGCCACAGTCTAATATCCAAGTTTCTAACTAGAAAAAATAATGTAATTGATCCCATCACCATAGCCTGTCTCAGAAATAAACTACTGCTTTTATCTTTCATGTTATTTGTCAGGTCAAATAATTATTGCATGTAAATCCCTTGTTCTAGACATCACGCGCTGTTGGAGATTTTCCACCGGTTTCCTTTGCTGCTACGGTCCAGTGTTTTCGTCTAGACTTCGCCTTACCTGGTGTGGACTGTTCAAGGATAGTCTCCACTAGACTTCGCTTGATCCCCAGATGTGTAAATTATTAGGCCCATTCCTGCTGTTTTTCAGCAACCCAAGGCGTTTCGAATAAACGAGTCTAGGCTTGACAGAAATCCTGACCTGTGTTGGCAAGAAATTTGCACATCTGCTTGGATTTAACTTGCAGGTGAATTCCGTGCCTCTGTCGTGATGGAGACAGAAGATGTGTCATCACCAGTTGTCCATTTGTCAGACGTCACCTGGCCTCTTGCCTTGCCTCAGACAGAACAAACACATTGTCTTCATCTCTCTCTCTATCCTCTTCCAAGAAACATATAAGCCGGTATGTCCTCTCATATAGGCTGGTACATCCTTCATGCCAAATTCCACGGGATGTACTATTGTTGATGGCAGGCTGTGTGAAAAGTCGGAATTTTCAACGTGTGCAGGTGTTAAGGGTTAGAACATCAGAACGCAGTGAAGCTGTGTTTTTGTGGTAGAAAAGTCATTTTTCTTTCAGGCAACCCATTTTCTTGATCTCTACACGATTGTGTCATGTACATGCAGTGCTAATAGAAAAGTTCGAAGAAAATAGTGACTACAGATTTTTATACATCATTACATGTATCACTGTATATGTAGATTTAAATGAAATATCAATACATGTAGTTTGTGGTCCACACTTTGATCCGTACATAGACCCTACTCTCCAAGCAGAGGTTTGAGTTTGGGTTTATTTTTAGTGTGTTTTTAGGCTTTTTTATCGGGGTTTCTCATTTGCACTGGCAAAAAATAACCCCAAACCCAAACCAAAAATAACCCCAAACCCAAACCTCTGCCTCTACTTGGAGAGTACATAGACCCGGGTGCACCGCCCCGACCTGGCAACACAACATAGTAAACAAACCCGAACAGGCCGCACAATAGCACCATTCAAACATGTCAGCCTCTCCAAGGGAACTTCAGGTGCTTTTTTGTCCCTCTCATGTGCGCTGGTGAATGGCCTCGTTAGCACACTGGGAACAAGTAGGCAGTGGCACACACAAGAACCATCTATTACGGCGTGTTTTCGACATTTGAACTCGGGTTTTTTAAACTTGCTCCAAAGAAGGACTTTAAACCAAAACAAACAAAAGTATGGTTGTTGCAGCATTCTATACACATTTAAATGGCAACACCCGCGACAAATGATGGTCTAATAATGTCCTCAGAGTTACTAGTAGTTTCAGGCAACGGGGTAATAATATTTTATACATGGTCGCCCGAACCTCCAACCAAGTATGGTAAAATCTCCTTGTTCCCACACACTCAACAGTCAACAATGGGAAAATAGTGTAAGGTTATCCTAGCGGCCAGCATTGGTACTGCACCTTTACGGATGGACTTGTGGAGTGATCGATTTTTCATAGTTTCTCCCACACGGACAACCCTAAAATTATTAATCATGTACATGTACTTAATCTTCAAGAAAGATCACTAAAAGTGTTGTTGTTTTTTTGTCCACAGTGTTTTTGGTAGCATCTGTACACCAAGCGAGAAGCCAGACAGAGAAGTATATAGACAAGAACGGATACTTGAAATGGAACCTCGGGAGCAACGTTCTAGTGGGCGCCGAGAACAGACTGGAGTTCAGATTTCGCTACTGTAACAACAAGGGCGTGCTCATTTACCAGCAGGGGGAGGGCAGGAACTTCTTCGCCCTCGGAGTCAACGATGAGAGACTGTACATCGAGGCATCTATAGATGGATTGGCTGTTGAGGTAAGCTTTAACAACTTACTTTTTTGACGTGTTTTATGCGTGTCATCGGGCTTTCTTTTGAGTACTCATACACTTTTTGCAAATGGTAACTAACTGTATGGCAAATGGATACCGCCTGGCCAAGATGATACTGTTTTTCAGCCACTAAAACTTAGTAAAAGGCCCCTAAAAGATCTGCTTGGAGATTACATTTTAGTAGTTATCCTCTTCTACCTTCCTCGTGGCGATACTGCAGCGCCACCTAGCAGTAGGAGGTAAGATTACAAGTTTGTAGACTTGCTGACAGTAGCCACCTCTGATTATTCTTCCAACGATCTTGATTGATCCAGTTATATAATTACCCTGATGAAGATGACAGACGACCATCGAAACGTCGGCTCTGGTTAAACAAGTGGTTGTGAATTAAGACCTTGGCTATCCAGTCAAGATGCTAATATGTCGGAACCAGTGAAAATTTTAAAGCAACCACGTTTTCTCTTCCCCTCCCGATAGATGTACGTTGGCGAGGTCGCACGGAACCAGACCCACGACGTCACCATCACAGGACTGAGGACCCTGAACGCTCAGACGAGGGTCATCATTAACGGGATCTCCTACACACCCGAGATCCTGACGGACGTCGACGTCAACCTGGACTTCAGCCGCAGTATCCTCGTCGGAGAAACCCTGATTGGCGGATACGAAGCCATCGATCAACTCAGGGTAAGATTTCCCATTCTGATCATCTGTTTTCCTAAGACAAAGCAGTATCAACTTGATGAAAAATGATGATTGGTGAGCTCTTAATTTTCATTCTAAATAAATATAGCATCACAAAATAACAAATATAACAAAGTTACAAGTGAAATAATATTGAAAATATGTTATTCCACGAATCAGTAAATCAAATCAAGTAAAGAAGTAAAATAATTTAATGAAGGAGGTTAGGAAGACATAGGATGGTAACCAAATATCATATCATAACAATGCACATCTAACAAAAATTAGCTACTTTGGGGAGCTTTCGAGACACACTCTGTCTCTTCGTCAACCCGTTAAGATCTCGTCTTGGAGTTCTCTCGTCACATGTAATTATAAACCGCTTCTCTGCCCCTCCCCAGCTCAACACCCAGCGACTGAAAGCCTACCCCATCACCTGTATCGAGTTCATCCGTGCGGGACAGGCCAACATCGACCTGAACAACCCCTCCAGTCAGCTGGGAGTGACCGACCGGTGTGTGGTCTGTCTCCCGCCGTCCCTCGTCACTCTCACCACGGTCACGTCATACCTGCGTATGAGGATCGACAACACTCCCCGGTCCAATACCGTCATCAGCCTCAAGTTCAGGACCAAGTAAGTTCGCAGGACAATGCTAGCCTCTACCAGGCTTCGGGAGACGGCTGGAAAGAGCAGAATAGAGAGATAACTTGCCATGGGAGTTTGTCTGCTAGGATAAGGAAAGAACATTTGCCACCACTCTAGCCGCTTCCCAAAGCCTGGTAGAGGCTAGGACAATACATGTAGTAGACAGCCTTCCATTTCAAAAGATGGTGGTAGCACTGTAAGTCTTTTGCTCTGGTCGTGTACAGTGTCTGGTTTGCATGGCAGTCCAGCCACAGTTGGGACGCAAGAAAGTCGAGATATGCGTAGGACGGGAACTACAGAATGCACGTGTTTTGTCATATATATTTCAATGGAAATACATGAACAAATTAAACAACCTGATTTCCAAAATATACACTGTCGGTAAGAAATTGTTGGATCAAGTAGACTATATATAGGGCCTCTAACCCCCGTGGTTGGATGGAGCAGAACTAAATGATTTGTGCCGCCAAATAAAATAAACCAAAGAAAATGGTCTCACAGAACGTTCTTTCTTACAGGGCTCCAGACGGTCTCCTGTTCTACTTCGGAGGCCCGGCCTACCTGGCCCTGTACCTGGAGGGTGGGGCGCTCGTTCTGCGACTCAACACAAAGGTAAGGCTATAGCTCCATTGTAATATGGTGTCTTGTGTTTTCCATGTTTGATAATTTCCAGAAAATTTTGTCTGAATGACTTGTGTTACATTTCACAGCCGCCAGTGTGCAATGCAGTCTCTACACTATGATAAGGGCTATTGAAAGTCTGTTCATGGATTCTCTATTTGGAAACATGTTTATCTGAACACCTTGATGTGTAGAAGGCATGAATTTGTGTTTTTATTTTTGATTTCAAGCGTTTGTTCTTGTGGGTTTTCAATCAAAACTAGGGAAGTGGCGATGACACTAGGTATAAAACTACCAGGACAACCTTCAATGATGGCGAAATGCAAGAAGTATCAGTGACGAGGGCAGGCAACGTGGCAACTTTGCGTGATGGCGCCGGAAATATTATTGCCCAAGTAATTTTCGGTAAGTTCTTCGTAGAGACCGTTCGTTTTGCGGCGCCATTTTGAATGTCGCGTGACTCTCAAAATGGCGTCGCAAGCAGAACGATAGTAGTGACCGAAGGATGATGTATTGTGCTTTCCCCTCTCAGGGTAGTGGCTCCGACGAAAAGTTTCGGACCTACAAGCGGGACTACAACAATGGCATTTCTCGTGAAATCGTAGTGGACAGAACTGGTAACCTTGCCTCCTTGTATGAGGTTCTACCCAATGGGGTGTACGATCAGTTAGCCGAGGTGAACTATGATGGTGAGTGCCGCTGTCACGTGATGTGTCCAGCCAATCCCGGCTCGTCCTGTCCACCCGAGATGCCACCCCTGCAACTCGTTCCCGTCGCGCCTGCATCTTATTGTTTGATTTTCCGTTCTTCAAGAGTCTGAATGCTGTTTATATATTTGCTGGAGATACGACTATGCATGTCATAAAGCCAAAACTATAGAAAGTTTGTACCACTAATTCTCTCCGTTCTCAGCAACTGTTGTCTAAATGCATGGTCGTATCTCGTCATTGTTTTTCAATTCAGTGATCATTCAACAACAAAGTTCAGCAATGATTCTACCTTCATCAATTACGCGATCATGGAACCAATCAAATGTTATCATGTGCATCTATTTCTCAGCCACGTTTTGATGCCAATGAGCTTAAGTAAGGAATGCGTCGCTTGGGAGCCGTCTGTTCTGTTCCTGGTTTTATAACGTCCCGAAATCCCAGTTTGCGTTCTGTTGTCCGTTGTACGTTTTGCTGTTTGTTCTGTTTACAATTGTCCCTTTTTTTAAGATACAGTTTGCGAACACAATGATTTTATTTGGCTAGTTGTGGCATGTGTCGCCAACAAATCAATCGACGTTAGAACAAAATTTCTACCATATGTATCGTAGGCGTTTGTCGTCAGCAACCAAGACGACAACATCGCTATAATACAGTCAATGAGACAAGCTCATGTTGACATTTTCCCAATGATGTCTTTTTGAGAATTATAAAGGCTGGCCTCTTTGACCTTGTGATTTTTTTCTCGTCCTGACTAATAATCATGTCATGTATCCCCCCAGAAAAACTACCTTGGTAGCCAGACGGGCTATCGGGCCGTCGGCCAGTTCCTTCGGCGGCCCAAGGCAGTAAGCCCGCCAGTCTAAATTAGCACCGAGGGTGAGTTGTAGCCCGAGGGAAACGACCGGCCAAACCCTTGGGGTACAACTCTCTCGTAGCGCTAGGTTAGACAGGCGGACTTACTGCATTGGGCCGCCGAAGGAACTGGCCGACGGCCCGATATCCAGTCTGGATCCCAAGGTAAAAACGCAAGCCGCCACACATACAGGTACGTGGTTACCACCAGGTCATAGGTTCCGTTATCTTCGCCCTAACGTGTTCGCTTTGACGCCGCCAGGTGGAAGCCAGAACACCGCCCAGGCGCTGAACGCCGAGCAGCTGTACGTGGGCGGGCTGGAGGACATTAACGACCCGGCCCTGTCCGAGTCCATCGAGGTGCGGCGGTCGTTCACCGGCTGTCTGGAGGAGCTCAGGTTCGCCTCGTACAGCGCCGTGGAAGAAGCACCCACACAGATCAACTTCAGGGACCAGAACGAAGCGGCCAGGTCAGTTAGGGACAAATCGCCCTCCTTTTACACCCCTTTACATCCTCTGAAGTAGTCGAGCTAAAGTTATAGTACTCATGAGCTGAATGTTTCATTGATATCTGAGAAATAGACAAAAACGGACCCTTACGCACTGCGACTGTGCGAAGCCTATGTAATGTATTGTGCACAGTTTGCATCATGGCATTTTAAAAGATTTATAGTTTTCAATTGCTGTGTCTGAAAAGATATCCTCTGCAACAGGCAAAATCCTGACAATGATCAAATTGAACATTCAGCAAAAACCATGAAAAATCCTAGAAAATCCGAGCTTCGCACAGATAAGACACAATACTTTCTACAGACGTACTACTGTAACTGTTGACTAACATTAGACCTACATTTCACCTTCTTTCGGTCTGAATTTCGATCTTATTTCTCGTTTTTCACAGGGAGGTGGACTTCTCGGCCTGTCTGGAGTCGGCTAGCTGCCAGTCCTACACGTGTACAGGAGAGGGTCAGCAGTGTAGCCTGGGTGTGTGTGAGTGTATCCACGGGTACGGGGTTCGTTCTCAGGACCCGCTCGTCTGCTACAACATCGACGACTGCAGCCCCAACCCCTGTCAGAACGGCGCGCAGTGTACCGACAAGATCGCCGACTACAACTGCACCTGTCCCGAACAGTACAAAGGTACGGCCAGATCCCTCTTTTTTCTGATGTCCAGTAGTCTTCACTTGACTAACTACACATGTTCAAAAACAGTAAAAATTTTAGCGAAATATGGAGAATGGTTGGCCAGTCGATTTTGTGAACTGTAGAATTCATTTGCTGCCTTTTAGATTAGTGGACAGCCTGTAGACTTTAATTAACGTACCTAGATACCACAGGCCTCCTTTTTTTGCCGAATTCTACCATCCGTACCCCCGTAGAAAGGCCTGATGGAGGCTAGTGGAAAAGTTTTTTGGAGGCTAGTTGTGAAATGTAGCGAACGGTAAGTGTCAGTGCCATAAGAATGTTAACTAAACATGTCAAGTAGTAACAACAACCCGTAACTGTTCCGTTTCGTTCCAGGTAAAAACTGTTCCGTCATCCGGAACTGCTACGAGTTCCCGTGTCTGAACGGCGCCGAGTGTATCGAACTGGACACGCCGACACCTAGCCCGGCTGGCCGGAACTGCAGCTGTGCGCCAGGGTACAAGGGCGTGGACTGTGGACAGGACTGCGACGAGTGTAGTGAACAATGCAACAGGTAACCAATTGTGTTACACTTAAGATATGTTTAAGAGAGACATGTCTTATATACCGTACTCTCCAAGCAGAGGTTGATGGTGGTAGGGACAAAAAACGGGCCGTATATAAAAAGCAAACGATCTTCCACCATCAACCTCTGCTTGGAGAGTAATATACCGTACAATTCTGTTATTCGAAGCTGAACCTGGTGTCAATAAATGCAAACGGCGATCGCAATTACACACAGTTATACAATGAGTGTTGTAACGCCACATTTTAACGGTGCCATTTATCTCCCCCTAGCGGAATGTGCGTGAACTCCATCAGCTGCGAGAACAGCATCGGCGACTTCGTCTGCGAGTGTAAGATAGGATACGAGGGGAAAGACTGCAGCAGTGAGATAGACCACTGTAAGGACAACCCCTGCAGCCCTGGTGGCGTCTGTCACAACTACCTCACGGGCTACAACTGCACGTGTGACGACGACCCTGAAGGAGTAGTGCTCAACCGTGAGTTGTCTTTTCTCTCGACAGAAAATAGAATTTACTGAGACTATCAGAAACGTTCTGTCTTCATCTCAAACGTGGTGCTATTACAAAATATATTGATGTATTTCCTGATCACAGGACCTAAAAACAGACATTTCTCTTGTCGCCCTCGAGTATACCGTGAACGTTTGAAGTGAACAGCAAATCTTCGCAAGGAAAATCTTGGCACTTTCTGAAAAGGTCGTAATTTTCCCTACGAAGATCTGCTTGGAGATGAGGAGAAACGTATCTCTTTCCTTTCTTCAGTTTCTTTCTTTTTGACCTGAGACGCAGGTGTATTTTTTTATACATGTGTATGGTTAGAACTTAGAACCTGAGAGCCAGAGCTCCTGTGAAAGATATTATCTCTGTTCCTTTCTTTCCACGACTTTTTAATCCTTACTACGTAGGGTTGGACTGCCTCCCTATTCCCCCTACACTCGCCCCAGTGCTGGGCATCATAGGGCTCACTCCGCCAGCCGCTATCTCCATTCTGGTTTGTCTTCTAGTTCTGCTTGGTGAGTATTGAAGGAGTGAAAGACGATCAAACCGTCCTTCGTCCTAGGTGTTTTACGACATCCAATTGTAGGACGAATGGCGGTACTGTTTGACCATGTACTGACGTCCCTGCGTCCCTTTGTGTCCCCCGACAGGTCAGAGCTGCGGCCCGCTCGCCGTGGTCAACCCCATCCAGATCTCGCCCGCCGCCCTTGTAGCCATCCTCGTCTGTCTCGTCATCCTGCTGAGTAAGTACACACGTGACCAGGCACAGTGCGAGAGTTCCGGCGCGAGCGCGCGAGAGTTTCGGTACAGTCCAGGTGTAGGATGGAAATCGACTAGAGAACATGTATCTACTAGTATTGATCGACGTAAAGCATGAAAATGTACGTTTTTTCGGTCATAAATTCCCGTGAAAAGCTAGCATCGGAATTACCTTGATACTGCCTGGGATTTGTTGTGCTCGCTATCCAAACGGAGCACTTAAAGCGCCGCAAATTAAGATTATTTAGATTGATCTGTGTGAAGAGTTTTATAGATCTATCGTATACATGTATGTCCCATTTCTGACCAACTTTAACTAGTCTATTGATCTAGAAAAATAGGGATTTTTGTCTTCGAAAATTTTTATCCGGGATTCTCACTGTGCCCTCTAGCGTGTGTCTGACATGACGTGCTGTTACCGACGGATTTCTGTGTTCATCTAACTCAATAAATACCTAATCAATCGCACAAGTACATCCCGCAACCTTCCCAGTCTGACAAGAAATCGGCACTAACCGTTCACACACTAACAAAACACTGCATCGTTTTTACGTGGTGGTATTTTAGTAGCATGGTGGTAGTGAAGTGTTGTTTTTGTCTTTTGTAGGGCTTTGTTTAAAAATGCTGAAAATCGAAACACGGAGCATAAAAATATTGATGAAATATTGAAATTAGCCGGAATAAATAGCCTTGTATTGCTGCGGTTTATAAGATTGCCTTGGTTTAACGTTTGTAGTGTCAGAGTGACGTTTCATCACGTTTTAGTTCTTTCCCAACGTAACTCTAACGTAAAACTGTGTTCCACAGTCCTGGTGATCGTGTTCGTGGCCTTCCGGCGCCAGTACCAGCAGAAGAAGAAGAAGGCCCTGTACGGCTACGGCAACGGACCAGACTTCGAGGAATCTCGCGAGAACATCATGAAGTACGAGGAGGAGGGGTACGGAGAGGAGGACCAGGACGCCTTCGACGTCAACCTCATCAAGTCTGTGGGCGACACCCTGAAACAGCGCAAGGTCAGCGGATGTTAACGGTCTTATTCTGCAAATGTTGTCCCACCGACTTCTTAGTTTTGGGTTGGAAATCACATTTGTTTCATATTTTAATTTTTGTATTGTGCATTACTTGTTTTTTTTTGTCGGAACAGTGACGATTTATAGAGCTAGTGCCACTCTGTCGACACGCACAAAGTCTTTACTCATTGTCTTTTTTGTCTTTTTGACTATAAATTGAGCCAGAATAGCTATAAAAAGATTATGTATTCATGGCAGCTTATCCAGACATTTTTAGAAGCAGTGATGTGAGTAAATCAACTAAAACTTGGTCCTAAGTGTATGGTTTCAATCTTTGAAAATAATACCTGTAAAACGCACGGTTACTTAATCAACGATGCTGACACATTTTTTTCTCCCATCTCCCTCCCAATCCAGCCGGAGGACAGGAGCAAGTACCCAACCCTTCCGCTAGGGGAGGCTGCTGACGTGGGCGACTTCATCCACGGCCGTCTGGGCGACGCCGAGAAGGACACCAACGACGGCGCCAACGACGAGATGATGCCCTTCGGCGACGAAGGTCAGGGGTCATTGGCGGGGTCGCTGAGTTCACTGAACTCCAGCAGCTCGGACGGCGACCAGAACTACGACTACCTGCACGACTGGGGCCCGAGGTTCTCCAAACTAGCCGACATGTTCAACGACGGGGAGAGTGACGACTAGGCCAGGTTCCCACCGCAGACACTTATGCATATCAAGACATTCCAGACGGAAATGTACTTGGGAAAAGAAATAGAAAAGGACACAGTGTACACTTTTACCAGTTCTGATCACTCACTGTAAGTTACCAAAAGTGGTAAAAGTGCACATTGTCTATACTGATGGAAGGCAAAAGATAGCTGGTTTGGACAGAATAAGAACGTAAGATTTATATTTTGAACCAAAGTTTATCGG